GTCGGGCACTGGTATCTCGTAAGCGAGTAGATAGCATCCGAAAACCCTGACTGTGCGCATGCGGCCAGCGAGCTGTATTGTGAGAGCGCCGTCATGTAGTAGGTCATATCTCCTGGAGGCGGCGAAGGCTGCGGGAACGATGTAGTGCCCTTATTCATGGCACAGTACGCATCGTAGAAAGCGAGACCCGAAGTCACGTCGGCGGCGTTGGAGCATGAGTACCGTACAAGCGATGCGATGGACCGGCTGACTCGTGCTGAGTTGTCGTTCTTCGAGCAGATGCAGGGCGCCATCAAACTTGCGGCTTCAGGGCAATACGTTGACATTGAGCTGATGGCGTACGACACGCCAGACTGGGCACACGGAGCCATGTTGGCGAACTCGGCGATATCGGTGGCATACTTGGTAACGATGTTGGTCGTAGGCGTCGGAAAGTTGACTGTCGTATCGGGGTTACAGTACTGGCTGATGACTGCCGCGGCGCTGGTCTGGTCATCGGATGCGGTTGAGCCACAGCTGTAGCTGATTGACCTGGCGATGGATGTTGAGATGGCGGCGAGGTTGTTGTTCTTTGTGCATATGCATGACTGCAAATCTGTCGGTGCTTCACCGCACGCCGAGTAGGTCTGGGAGAAGATATTGTACGACACGGCAGTCTGAACACACGGCGCCTGATATGGGTCAGTATCGTTTAATCACCTTTTTGGCAAAGGTTTTGGACATACCAACAAGGTGTAAATGGAAAGATCAGTGACATAAACGATACTTGCGGCTCTCCCAAGGCCGATGAGGAAGAGAGACAGCCATAGCTGGGCTGATATCCGCGACATCTCTCCCAGGCAAACCACAACAGCAATCAAAGGATATCAAGGAACGGAACGTCGACAACGGTCAACAGAGTCAGAAAAGACAGGAGGAGCCTTTCACGAAGCATGATGTGAAGAGGACGAGGGGGCCAAATGGCAATGTCTCTGCCTAGAGTGACTGGCTAGGCATGGGAAGCTAAGCGCGGGGGAGAGACAGTTTCTAACTCGCTGCAAGGGGTAATGAAGTCCACCGTTGAGCCCGTGTACCCGTGAAAAGCGTGAAAGCTTACCCAGTTTCTCTACTTCGGCTTAGGCTGACTTGGTGTTTTGATGGTCAATCATCACCACGACGGTCACTGACCCCTGTCACTATGGCGCTAAAGTTGCACCACCCCCTTGACAGCTGAAGGGCTGAGCCAGGGATAGCTTCAACGTGATCGCCTCTGCGGTTCCGCAGTGGAGATTTCATGTTCCGCGTCATTTGTCCGGAAAAACACGAAAAAGCCGACTCATCGCGGAGTCTGGCGGAGTCTTCGCTACCCTGGAGATATCAAGCCTCATCATTTTCTGTGACAATGCCCAAGTTGAACAGCATGAACAGGTGAAGAGCTTTCGCACGTTTCAACGAGCCTCTTAACATCCTTCCCTCGCGGAAATAAAAGCAACGTTGGAGGTGTCCACAAGACAGCTTAGCTGCAGCCGCGATGGCGTTGTTTAATCAAACACTGGTTCAGCCCAGGCCAAGCAAGCTAGGCAAGCCAAGTTGATGATTTGGTAGTGTACAGCCATGGACCTCGCACTCGCAGCAAGTCACAACTCATTTGCCTCGCTGGCGGGGAAAACATCGCTTCGGAAAGTCGAAAAGTGATCCAAAAAAGAAGACAACACTGGTTGTTCGATCTGTCGGTACTTTCCAGACCCATCGTGATGGCGTCAGGATGGTAATATGATGATAACCTACGTGCCTTTGACCTTTGCTGGCGGCAGAAATGACTCAGGAGCCGGCAGGCGCCACAATCCAGGGGCGACAGAAACCGGTAGACGCGATTGGCGTGCCCAGATGAGACATTCCGTTCAGAGCTAGCCTTGAATATTGTGGCAGGCCAACATAATTTGTTGGCGTGAAGTTGAAAGAAGCACAGCAGCCTTGATTGACTGTGTATCGTGGGTGTCTGGGTTCATAATTAGGTGCTGACTGAGAGGAGGGTCTATCAAAGATGGAGCACAGGCACCAGGGCAAGAGTAGGACAATTTCAGCTTACAGAAGGCAAGTCAATAACTGACGGCAACCGGGTCATCACCCGGCCGAGCTCGGCGCGGTTTGTCCGTGGCATAACCAAAATGTCGCTAATAATCACCGTATTCAGAGTAGAACTTAAGGATCAACGGAGTCAGTGGTGCAGAACTGCAACCAAATGGATCAACCTTCCACAGACTATCCAGGTTCCTGAATACAGGAGTCTCTCATTCTCACCATGATGGTATCATTCTGGGCATCCTCCTCCACCTACATTACTTCCCGAGCCATGATCTGTACAAACGGTACTCATCGATGGCATCGATCCATGTCAACTGACTTCTGCCACCTTGTTCCGGAACGAGAGGTCCCTATTGAACATTGAGAGGCCCGGCCAAACACTCTCAGGATGGCAGAGCCTCCCCTTGCGGCTCGCCACTCAACTCAGCACCCGGCCGCCCGCGCCACCACCGTACATGTAGCCAGGCGCGAGACCCTCACCGAACTTTGTTAGAGTCTGGTTCACCTTGAGGGACAGCCGCCTCGAAATGCTGCTCCGCTTTTTCACTTGCCTTTCCATGCTGTCTCTCGCCTCCAGTACCTCAACGTCGCCATTCTCTCGCATGGTGCTTATGTCCACATCGCAGTTCTCGTCCTCATCGGTTTGGCTTTGCTCTTCGGCAGATTTGTAGTCGGGCATCGCACGGCTTCCGCATGTTGTGCACATGATCTGATTGGGTCGAAGGGTCGGCATCTCGCTCTTTCGCCTTGTACGATCTGCGGTGGGCGGAGCCGAGTGGTTCAAGGACGGCGTTGGTTCAGTGAAGGCATCGCCCTCTGTAGCCCGCCTCCTCATCGATCTTGCTCTGCGTTCGGCCACCTCTTTCTCGACGGACCACTTGACGACAGAAGGTCTTGGTGTCTCCTCCTTCTCGGCCACTGCAGCCAGGCTCGTGTTGGCGAACTGTGTGGTCATCTTGTGCCGGCCAATCTCATTTGCCATCTCAAGCCAGAGAGCATGGCCGATGGCATCGTGAAGTACCGGAGCCGTGATGAGCTTTCGACATTCTCTTGTGCCATCTGCCATACGTAGTCTACCAAGCTCTCTGATCTCGTCCAAGGTCAAGTTGCAGACAATCTTGATGTATCCCGCCTGCAATTGCGTTTCCCATCGTTCCATGATAAAGCCTTCCAGAAAGGCGGATGCCTCTGCGACGTCCCTTTCGTGTTGTGTCATCTCCTGTTCGATATTCTCTTCCTCCACTGTCTCTGGGGATTGCGCGGCTCGGGTTTCGTCAGCATCGTAGGGGATTTCGAAGTAATTGTCGACGCTAGACTCGTCGGAGGGGCCGCCATGGTGCTGTCGCCGAGCTGAGCTGGCCACCTCGTCTTTCTGTATAGGCGTCATGATCAGAGGCGTTCGTGGACTGTAGGGCTGGTATAGCTGCTTATCCAACGCCATCATAAAAGGGGCGGCTTTGCTGATATTGCTGGCGGAGAAGCAGCTCATTCTCCTCTCGAGCCCAACCGATTTCCTCGCCAATGGAATCTTGCTTGGGGAAGAATCTCGCGACCTCCCGAAGACTGTTGATTGAATGCCGTACATGTTCAAAGTTGTTATGCTTGCTCCTTCCTTTGACGACTTGGCTTGCCCGAAACCACATGAGTCTGGGTTTAAATACATAGATACTCATAGCAGTGTTATAGTTTCTCGCCCATAGAGGTCTCCAAACGGCTCACATCAGACTTGAGTTTGTCGGGGTCACCACGCCACTAGATCATGTCATATTAGATCTCCATATCCTCATGGTCGAGGCTGACGACGGAAGCAGGAAACCTTGCGAGCCATCGACTAGGTCTAGGCTGATGAGGCGCAAGGCTTATTCTTATTCAAAGTGAGGACCTTGACCGGTCCGACCTCCATCTCCTTGACGCTAAATGAACGACGTCGGTCAAGACGTGAGAATGAGAAGCTGCTGTGGGATTTGTGCTCAGATGATTTGCAACATCTTGTTCGAGGCCTTGATCACGTTCCTCGGATGTTCCAGAGAGACACTTCATTTATGAAGATTGCGGCAGAAGACGGCTAGATCTATCAGCCCTCGCCACACAAGGTAGTCCAGTAGATAGCTATAGAGATCAATGAGTCAACAGGGTCCTTGGAGGATTGCGATGATAATGTAGCCTCAGCAGCTATTCTCGTCCCTAATACCTGCTTGGCGACTGCTCTCATTTGACCCGATTAACTTGATGTGTCGTTGACGCAGGGTTGCTACCGTTGATAGGAGTGCCGTTCTCACGGTAAGTAGTGCTTAACAATCTCATAACGATGTTCATGAGTTCTATATATCCTGCAACTAGCTCATCCATCTCGTGGAGATGCCTAGTCATCATTGGCGATTCCTTGTGAGCATATGTTTGCATTACCCCGCCACCCCGCGATGGTGTGGCTGGTATTGTGGCATTTTTTGGTTCACGATCGGGGTAACTGATAGGCCGGCGAGATCAACACCGGGATTGTAACGAGAAGCGGGTTGAGGTCTTGGCACAAGCATTCAGTAACCCACAGCCTGCAGAGCAACGGCTGGGTTTGCATTGATCAAAGGGCAGATATTAATATCGATGAACTCTAAATACTCTGAATTGCCGCCAAACACAACCGGTTTGGACTCGCTTATAGAAACTCTCCGAATTATCCCGAGCATTTTCTTGATTACTCCTCTATGTACAAGCGGGCCCTTCAGTAGGAGTGGAAGATCCTTCAATTAGGTGTTGCTTCGAGCTTGAAACGATGCTATTAGAGAAGGCCTGGATGGCCTGTGGAAAGCAAGCTCAACGGGATGAAGTGTTTCTATTACAAAGGCTATGATAGAATGATTAATCAGGTATTATTAATCTAGGCAATTGAGGCAAGACATGATTTGGAGGTGACTTTGATGGGCGCTGAAGCGTCAGCATTACACAAAGACGTTTTCCAAGAGATACTCGATCTCTGTCGCCCTGTAGTTGTCCTCTTCAACAAAGGCCAGACCCGTACGGTTTACATCAAAGACGATGTTGTTAGGCTCATCCACCGTGTACAATGGCCACGTAGGACCTGTCTTGGGGCCGCTGCAGACATTGGGGTCGGTGTCGTGGATGAACGCAACCCACATCTTACTCATGAGGTCCGCCAGCTCGACAAAGGTCTCTGGCTTTCCTGCAAAGGGGTTGGTAGCATATCCCACTCCGTTCACGTTGTTGAACACGAACGCGACCTCTTGGAAATGGGTCGCTCCGTAGACGGCCGCGATGCCGTTGACATAGACGTTCCACAGGTAAGAGTAAACGGACAGTCCGGCGCCAGCGTAGGTGCTGGCCAGGAGCCTGCGGCCGCTGTGCTGTTGGTAGTCGCCGGCAAAGGCAGCTGCCCGCTTCCACTGAAGGCCGAATGGGTACGCCGCAGGTCGGCCAACCTGAGAGACGGGGATTCCAACATCGGGATCGTCGGGGTAAAGCTCCGAGATGGCGGCCACCTGTTCGCTGTCCAGCTGAAGGGCAGTAAGCCAGGCCTGGAACTGCTCAGTGGTGTTGATGCCCTGCTTTGCATACGCGGTGCCCTCATCGAAGTTGTTGCCGAGCAAAAGAGGAACATGTGCGAACTTGTCCGCAGCCAAGAGCTCGGATCCCTGGGCAGTGATGAAGTCGCCGTCAACCACAGCGCTGATGGTAGGCGGCGTTACGCTCAAGGGGTTGGTGCCGTTGTAGATGGCGTTGATAGTCTGCCAGGGAAGGCCTCGCAAGCAGCTCAGCTTGTCAGCGGCATCGGTACAACCCGTCTTGTCGACGAGAGCATTGAACCACGGCTGCCAGTCGTCGGCGTCGGCAAACCTCGCGATGGGACTGCCACTCTCGAGGATGGCGCTGCGGAACAGGCTGTTGTATTGACCATCGTAGGCGACGAGCTGCATGCCCAAGGAACGAGCACCCGCAGACTCTCCCCAGATGGTGACTTTGTCAGGGCTACCGCCAAAGGCGCCAATGTTCTGCTGGAGCCATTCCAACGAGAGGCGCTGGTCGCGGAGACCAATGTTGCCAGCACCGGCGTTTTGCAGCTCGTTGCTAAAGAGGAAGCCCCAATACGAAACACGGTAGTTGATGGATGCAGCCACAATAGGCTTTCCCTCCTTGACGGATTGGTCGACAATGTAGCTGAGGTTGTACCTCGGGTCGCGCGAGCCTCCGTTTACATAACTCTGTTTCGACAAAGTCAGCAAAAGTACCACGTAAAGGTTGTCTTACACTTGGCAGAAACTTACGCCGCCGTGAACCCAAACGCCAACAGGCAGATCATCTCCTGGCGGGACACCGGCCGGACGCACGACGTTGATGGTCAAGCAGTCCTCCGAAACGGGGTTTCCCAAGTTGGCAGTATCGGAGCCATACCCTATGCACATCCAGCCATATTCGGAAGCTGATCGAGTCCCCTCGAACGTCTCGTTGAGCGGTTGAGGAGCAGCGAACCGGAGAGGGCCAACGGGGGGTTGTGCATACGGGATACCAAGGAAGAGGTCCTGCGCATACTGCTGGTTCCGCACTCCGACGTAGGTCCCGTCTGAGAGGTGCACCGCAGGAGGTCCAGGCGGCGTGGGCTTGGGACGAGGACCCCAATAGGCGGGCGAGGAGGACTCGGACACGCCCAAGCACGACGAAAACGCCAGAAGAACTCTAAACGCGTGGGAACGCATGGTGGGCAAGGCTCAACGGGCGAAGAAGTGCAGCTTCTAGAATGCGGTGTAGAAGGAAAGGGAGGCTAACACCTGCGTGTGTCTCATGTCAGTCGCACAGAGGTTCAGGTAGGGAGATTTTGATCAAGCCCGTCGACGCTACTCGGGAACCAATCATGACATATCGTCTAGAAATTGCCTCAACGTCCGCTGCCGTGAAAAGAAATTTCCGTAAAGACGGCCTCTTAGTCCCTGCACTGCCCGGAATATTGGGTTACGACGACTCTAGACTAAGAGCCGTTTTGGAAAATAATCACCGGCTCTTCCAAGGCTCTGCCGATCACCCCTAGCAGACTTAGTCCATACCTTAGATTACGATGACACATACAAGAAGTCCGTACCGTCTCATTGCCCCTGCGGATGGCACTTGGCAGCCCTCCAACACGATTTGCGTGCTTCGGCTCAGGGGGCTCGATCAGATGCTACTACGTAAGTTCATCCTTGTGTCGCATGGCGAGAGCATGGCGAAGCTTCCCCATCGATCTCTCGGCCGAGGAATTCATCCATCACGGGTTCGACGGGTTGTGGCCTGATGCCCAGCATCCCCCGCAGATTGGTGCCGTAGTTGGTAACCGTCCGTTTTGCCGCTGCCCCCAAAGGCCTGGCAGAACATCGGAGAAGCATACCTCGTTGTGGTTAGCAGAATCGATGGTGAGACCACGCTACTGCGCAGTAACGGCGCAGCCAATATTCGTGTTGGTGAGTAGACTCTTTTAGTGTCTTCTAGAGCCCCGAAAACTCCATATGGGTACTGTTTAAACGAGATATGTAATATTGACCATCGGCTATGATCCTGGGGAAAATCGCTGGCGCACGAATGGGATCTCTCCGCTCAAGCCCCAGGATTAGAGTTCGGCACTAGAGACCGGTACCCCAGCCATCTTGTGGGCACATTCCCACATTCCTCAGCTGCCCCGGCATAGTTGGGCCGGCCTGGCAGGGCTAAAGGAACTTTGGTAGCAGAATCCGTTAACGAGACCACACACACCTTAACATTCTCATTGATTACAGTTGCGTGATGCCAGTGGACCCTTTATGCGTCTGTAGAGGAGAACGTGGTCCGTATGCGGAGACGCTGTTGGAGCATGGCGCTGGATCTCCGATTGAGATGGACCCCGAGCCAAAAGCCCATGGGAACGTCCCAGTCCTACCTTACTGTTTAAGTAACCAACTTCCTGTTCCCATCAGATCATTCCAAGACAAGTGTGGTTGCAACAAAACAGCCACAGCGTCAGTGGTGAGCCGTTGACTCTTGTGAGGCTGCTAGTTCCCTTGCATCCGTACCTCCCGGTGGATTTACAGACGCAAAACAAACTTGGCTCAGCGATCCAACAGTTCCGTTTGAAGTAAGTGCCCGTAGTAGCAGAAATCATACGTTGGTCCCAGCACCGCCGTGTTGGCGGCCGGCCTCGACTTTTCCACGAACCCAAATCTCCCGCTTCCGCCCGCCGTGATATATGTCGTGCACCGGTCGAAGCCTGATCTGTCTTTCGCCTGCCCGTGACGAGGTGTTCCTTGGGGCAGGTGGCGGGACTTCGTCCGAACTCCGCCTCCCCTCCCTGCTTCTCCCTTTGAGGGGGGGAATCCTATCGCCGACACAGGCAATACTCTCGCCGGTTTCGAGGGGGGGCACATAGCGTGAAAAGTCGGTTGCACTCCCCGAAACTAAGGACTGTTCATGGAGGGTAGGAGGCTTTCTGGTACCTGGGGGCCCCCTTGTTAAAGACGCTGATCTTAGATTTCATCATGTGCGATGCCAATGTATAATATGAGGGAGTGATGCACTTTCCGCGTGTGCGCTGACCTCGCCCGACTTTGAGCAGAATTCCCGGGGATCCACTGATTGACTCCCGTCCTTGTTTCTTACGACGTCTTCTATCATATCTCGTGGCACTGTGCATCTGCCGTGAGGTTGACGATGGTCGACGATAGAGGCACCAGACTCCTCGCCGTAACATGGTCTCTCTGTGTCGCTAGCGCTACGCTGCTTTCATTGCGTATCTATTGTAAGCTATGGCGTGGACGTGGTTTATGGTGGGATGACCATCTCTTGATTGCGTCAATGGTATGTGAAGAATGGCCGTCATTGTCCTACCCCCCCTAGCTCATAGTTGCAGGTGTCACTGGTGATATCCATCTCGATAAACTCCTACATCGTCTCTCTCGGATTTGGACGCCATATCGATACGATCAGTAGCGATAACCTCAAGCTCATCAACCTCAATACGATCCTCGTCGCCACGTTCGGAATCATCGCAACGACGACTAGCAAAAGCTCATTCGCCCTGACACTGTACCGCATCGTCACGAACCAATGGTTGAAATACTTTCTCATCTTCATCATCGTTTCCATCAACATCTCGATGAACTTGGTATGGATCTTTGGCTTCGCCAAATGCACACCGTTGCAACGAGTATGGGACAGCAGCGTGCCGGGGAGCTGCTGGGATAAGAAGAAGCTCGTCAAATTCCAGTTGTTTGCTGCCTGTAAGACTGCCGCGAAACGGTGTTCTCATGAGGCTTGCATGCTCACTTGCTTGCAGATTACTCCGCCATTCTCGATTTCGTTTTGGCATTCCTGCCGTGGCCAATTCTCATGGGCGCAACGATGCGGCGTCGCGAAAGGCTTGGTGTCGCCGTAGCAATGAGCTTGGGTGCTATGTAAGACTTTCGGATTCCACCCTGGCCACTTTTGCGGTGAACTAACATCGACGACAGTGCCGGAATATGCGGCATCGTGAAAGCTGTCCTGGTGGTCAACATGACGAGTCCAGACATCACCTACGAGCGCGTTGACCTTACGATATGGACTTTGACAGAACCTGCCGCCTCGATCATGGCAGTGTCTATCCCGGTCTTGTATGTGGTCTCCCCCCTCATCAAGCGTATTGGTTCTTCACCTCTGACACCGTGTAGGAGAATGTTGTACCGAGAGCTCAAGTCAACTCAACGAAGTTATGCACGAAACAAGTCACAATCGCATGCACTCGACACAGGAACGAGGAAGGAGGTCAGATCAACGAAGAGATATGGCCCGGGGTCACAATACGGCCGGAATTCTGTTGTTGTCATGTCCACCGGAGGATGGCAAGAATCGCAGGAAGCCCTCCAAGAGGCGGAGGGCGGCCAGGCATCGCCGCTCCCGGGCATGAACGGGATCATCAAGACCGAAGAAGTGAGAGTGCGGCATGAAAGATTAACAGGACTCAGTGAAGGCGAAAGCTCAATTGAGCTCGACTCGCTCAAGGAGGGTCATAGATGAGATCATGAAACCGACAGTTGATGAACACCCAGGCTGGACTCGGACGAAGGTTTACACTATAATAATTACAAGTTAGCGCCACTTGATACCAGATATGAATGATTTGAATAGAGATTGATTGGATATGGCGATCAAATAAACTACTCGTAGTCAACATGCAATCGTATGCCCGTGGGCGCCTGATGAGCCGACAATGATTGGGGAGAGATTTGAAACAATCGTGTGAGCAAACCTGCGAATGATATTCTCTAACTTCGCTGATGCCACTGAATTTGCAGAATGCTGCCAGAATCGATGCTACCAGAATCGATGCTGCCTTGTGGCTTTGGGGCCTTGTCGTCACTCGTCACCCGTCACCGGCTCACCGAATGCTCTCCATTATTGGCCTACCGGTGGGAATCAAAAGCCAGAATTGCATGCCGCTATATGGTGCCTAACAGAAAACTTGACACTATGTATCATTCCTATTTATGATTCCGGAATACCCTGATACTTGTCGAGCCTGGCGGAGCGTGGAGATAGACGCTTTGCATTTGAAATTAGGGACCTCGGTGAGAGCTAGGTAGGACCTCGGTGAGGCCAAGGTGACTTCCAACATCATGAGATCGGAGTTCCACAATAGCTAAGGTCGACCACACACAACATGTACCGATCTTGAGAATCTTTCACATCGAGAATCAGAGAATCGGGTTTATGTGCTAAGCCATACATTTTAACACCTTTGAGATGGAAGTTCTGAGCCAACGAACTCTATACTGTATGACATCGCGTTGGTTTCGCGATCAACGTCGTCCTCGACCTAGAAAGTCTTTACCTCTGATCAATTTAGGCCAAAAGAAGATAGCCGCTTTGAAACACAGCAGCTCGTGTTAAAGGAATTCGGTTTGAAAAGAGTGAGCTCATTTCTCTTTCAGCTCATCCCCTTTGTATGCCCAACTCATTGTATGGATAGGTGAGAAGATGCAGGACAAGACAGCTGCCCTCGATAAAGAAGCATGTGAAACCCAAGAGATCGACTTCTCACCTTAGATAATTGAGTAAAAGATGAAGAGGACCTCATAGAAGCCCTACCCACTGCAAAAATTCTGTCGCTTTGTCAGTTCGCACCTGCCTCACCTTTGCGCCTTTCTCCCGACGCACCTTCCCTCAACATCAGCTTTTCCCAACAGCGCCTTCCTCATCTTTACATCCCTCTGAATTTTCATCTTCGATTCTCACTCACACCCTCATCTCACTCGTCCATCCCTCCAATTTTCTCTTTTCTTCAACCCCTACGTGAGCCATCTTCTCAACTTCACGCCGAAGAAATCAACTATCGCAAGAACCTCCATCTGCTTGCCCACGAGATCCTTCTTCAGACAATCAATTTTCATCAGAAGATTGCATTTCTTCCTTATACACTCCAGGCCTCATATCCCTCTCTCATCCATCTATTCATCGCTCGCCTAGGTTCGTCTCATCCGCCACCGGTGTCATCCCTCTAACGAACGCCGAACCGACATCATGATCGACCCGTTCAGCGTCGCTCTCGCTTTTGCCGGCATAATTGCCATTTTGATGGCTCTCAGCTATCTGGGCAGTCTGATCTACCAGCTCTTTCGCGAGAACGGCCTGCTCGACCCCAAAAGCATCGGATGTCTTATCTTCGTCGTCTTCATCCTGGCTTCTATTCATCCTCTGACGGGAGACCACGCCCTTA